TATTTATTTTTTTGTGGTTTTTTTTATTATTATTATTTTTTTTTTTAGTGGTCTTAAATTTAACATGACACCAGTTAATGATAGTTTTCCTCCAGCAATGATTAGCAGCTTGGGACAGACACAGAAGCTTATTATTTGGGGAATGATTTTGTAACTAGTTGGGACTCTGCCTTGTAGATACCATGAAGGAAGAAAATATTAGTATTTTCAAGAGAGAGAGAATGTCTGAGACAAGTAAAGACAGTACGGTGATTCATGCTTGAGAAATGGTGAGGTTTCAAAGAAATCAGTTGTCTCCTCTCTTTTATGATAATTTAGAAAGGTATAAAAAGTAAGCCACAATTTTGTTGGCCACAGGTAGCTAATGTTGACATTTCATCCTTTTTCTTTTTACCAAACCAGGATCTTTTAAAACATTTTATTAGGGGCTCAATCCATACACACATCAATTGTGTAAAGCGCATTTGTACATCATTCTCAAAACATTTTCTCTCCACTTAAACCCCCGACATTAGGTCCTCATTTTTCCCCTCCCTCCCCGCTCCCCCCTCCCTCATGAGCCCTTGATAGTTTATAAATGGGTATTTTGTCATATCTTGCCCTGTCCGACGTCTCCCTTCACCCACTTTTCGCCAAACCAGGATCTTATATGGACACTATTTTTCTTCTTTTTTCCCCTTTCATTATACCTTGTGTTTTCCTTAATGACATTGGTCGTTCTTTTTTAATGACTTTGCTGCTTGAGCTATTCAGTCACCATTCCTTCCTTGAACATTTAAGTTTCCAATTACTACATAACCCTGGTAGTGGTTACAAGTTGGGCTGTGATCCATGTGGTCAGCTGTTTGAAACTACCAGCAGCTTCTTGGGAGAAAAGATTAGGCTTTCTACTCCATTTAACAGCTATCAGCTTGGAAACCCAAAGTGCGATTGCGGCGAGTCAGCATTGGCTTGATAGCAGTAAATTCAGTTTTGGTTTGGTATTACATACTGTTCATAGAATATCATTAAGAAACTTTATCTGAGTTTATTTCCCTAACATTTGGGAGGAAGAGGGGGAGAAAAATAACTGGTTCAGAATACCTGAACTTTTATGTTCTTAATTACCTTAGCACTGACAATGTACCAATGTATGAAGCTGCGTATTTTTTTGAAGTGCCCTATTTTATCATATTCTCACCATTAATATAATCTTTAAAACATAAATGCTAAATTGGAAAAACCAGCTGTTCCATTCCCCCCCCCGTTCCATTTTTATTAAAATGTTAAGTGGAAAGTTTGAAAATAGCTCACTACTTAAGTTAACATTTTGTCCACATATGTCCACATATGCTTGATACAATCGACGTATGGATTGTTATAAGACCTGTAAGAGCCCCCAATAACGTGATATTTTTAATAAGTAAAAAATAAAGAAAAAAAGAATTTTACCATTTTGCTGAGGGTTGGAGTTATAATTCACTACCCAAAATTTTAGCTTGCATCTCTTAAAAGCAACCTCCTTTTTAAAATATTATCATATTATTTAGTTAAGAAAAATTAAGTCTTTTGAAACCATCTAACATTCAAATTCATGTTTATAGTTCCCCAGTTAACCAAAATACTGTTTTGGTTTTTTAAATAATGTCTTTTATAGCTATTTTTTAAGTCACTGCCTACCCAAAGTTTACATATTGCATTCAGATACGTATTTTTGTCTTTTAAATTTTTATCCTAATTCTCCACATACATTTTCATTGATTCTTGGAAAGTCTTAGGGTTTGGCTTAGTATTTTCTGATTCTTATTCTTTAACTTGTATTTTCTATCAATTGAGAGGTTAGATGAACGATTTAATAAGATTAAAGTTTAAAACATTATTTCCAAGAGGACTCTCAGGGTAATGTTTACTCCCTAATCATATTGTGAGCTTGGACTGTCTAATTAATTTGTATTTAGTGCTACCCTAGAACTCTACCATAGTGTTTCCAAAACTCTAAATCAGGGGTCCTCAAACTTTTAAAACAGGGGGCCAGTTCACTGTCCCTCAGACCCGTTGGAACAAATTCCTATGCACACTACACATATCTTATTTTGAAGTAAAAAAACAAACCGGCCATAAACACTTGGCAGGCCGGATAAATGTCCTTGGTGGGCTGCATGTGGCCTGCGGGCTGTAGTTTGACGACGCCAGCTCTAAATCTTTACAGAAGCAGACTGCTGTGTCTTTTTTCCTGTAGGTGACAGGTGGGTTCAAACTGCCAACCTTTTGGTTAGCTGCATAGCACTTAACGACTGTATCACCAGGCTTAGTAGATAACTTAGGCTGAGTTCTCTAGAAAAGTAAAAGCCAATGGTGTATGCATGTGTGTGTGCATGTGCATGCATGTGCACACATGCAGAAGATCTTTAGCTCCTAGGAATGGCTCATACTGTTGTAGAGACTGGCAAGTCCCAAATCCATGGTTCTGGTGTCAGACTCGAGGCACCTCCTGACTCACAGAGGTGTAGGAAGCAGCTAAGGTGGCAGATCACTGGCTCATAGACCGGAGAGACTGCCAAACCTCAGGACCTACAGGCAGTACTCTAGGCCATTGGCTCAAGTCCTAAGAACTGTAGGTTAGATAGTTATGAACCCAATGGAGAATCTAGAATGAGCAAAAGCCAGAAGCCCCCTTAAAATTGATTGACTCATCCTATCAGATCACATCATGAAGATGATGATATATATAGAATCTGTATCACAAAAGGGAGGGGATACCATTACATAACAGCTAAACTGCATAGTTACATAAGTGACAAACCACTGAGAATTGTTGCCCAGCCAAGTTGACACATAGCCTTAACCATCACCCCCCCCAAAAAAAAAAACAAACAAACAAACCCTGCCATGGACAGTAAGCATCTAAAATCAAGTTGTTTTACTGGTTAGTGTTGCTATTTTATAATTTCTTTGAACGTGGTAACTTAACAGATCTCTTTGTAAAAGTGTGGTCATGCCCCATTCCTCCCCCGCCCCACCCCCCTTTGTGAGCACTCCTCTGGGTGAGTTCAAACCAGCAAAAATCGTCTTCTTATACCATTTATTTTTAAAATTACGAATAAATAATTTTGTAGTGGGGAAATGAGTTATGAAGATCTGTAGATAACTTTAAAAGCATCGATGTGCTGTGTTGACTGTAAAACTATGATATGCTCTGCAAACCTTCACCTAGTTCACAATAACAAGTTAACAAAGAGCATTGGTGATTTATAAAAACCTGAGTAATTTTGTTCGTTTAATTAAGAAATCTTAGGAAAGAAGTGGAAGCCCATAGTCACATTGTGGCTTCTTAATAGATCGGTGAAAGTCTGATGTTTCCAATTTTCTTCTTAATATTATTTATCCTTATATATACAAAGTATTTTTTACCATTGCTGATTTTTTCCTTTTTTTTTTTTTTTTACCCATTCTAAAATTATACTCTTATATTCTACTGCAAAGTACCAATGATGATAAAATTTTAGGCCATGGGGAGAAAACATTTTAACATTTTTGAGTAAATAAATACTTGGAGAAAACAATATAATAAAGCCAAATGTAGAAAGGGTTATGAAATAATATTAATTAGCATGTTTTCGATACATGTAAAAGTAGATATTTTAATCCTAAACTTTCACTACAACTTACTGTGTATACTCGAGTGTGAGCCAACCCGAATATCAGCTGAGGCACCTAATTTTACCACAAACACTGCATTAAAAATTGCTGAAAAACTCGTCTTATACATGAGTATATATGGTAATAAGATGTCATATGGCATCTTTAAAATGTGGTGTTTAACATTTATGTATTATTTCTGTACCAAATAGTCCATATTAAAACTTTAGTATATGAAAAGAGTAAAATTGTTATCTTCTGTAGTGAGGAACACTGGGTGGAGATGGGGAGCCAAGAACCTTAAAACTGTAGTACTTAACACTCTTTCATCCATTAAATAAGCTTAAGAATGTGGCCCAAAAGTAAATATTCTTTAAATCGTATACAGCTTTTTTTCTCTAAGGTATTAGAATAGATTGTGTCAATTAGGTGAACTGTGGAATCTAACATAAAAAAGTGAAGACAAAATTAATATAAGAAGCTAACATTTTAAAAATTCTGCCAAGTGGAGAATTTACCTTATTAGGAATACAGAGCAGTAAGACAGTAGTATAGGTTTAAAATTTTAAATGGAGCGCTCATTTGTAGGCAAGCATTGGTGAATGTTCATGTGAATCCGACAAGAGGGCTTTCTAAATTATTTAAGGCAACTGATTGTGGACTCAGTGATGTTATAAATGTAGAAGTATTATTCGAAGTGTTGACTGCAAAATGAGTAGACAGATAAATTTAAAACAGAAATCTTTAGAAACGTGAGGGTTTTAAGGAAAATCACCTTTCTTTCCTCTTGCATTTGTTACCCTTTTCTCCAAAGCAAATAAGCAGAGAACAACAGGACGCAGGTCATTAGAAGGGTCTAGTGAAGCACTGATGCCTTTGGCATTTTCATGGGAAGAGAAGTTAACGATGACTGGAACGTTCACCACCCTGGTGAACGGTGTGGGGTTTCCGTCCACAAGCCCATCCTTCTTGAATTGTTCTGCTTAGCTCAAGTGAAAATTCAGAGGTGAAATGGCTAATAATGACCCTGAATTTTCCTTTATTTCGATAGAACCAACGTGAGATTTATCACTTAGGACCTAACATGCATGAAGTTGACAGGCATAAAATAGGTGTCTGCCATTTTTTTCTCTAATGCCATTCATATAACATCACGTGGTATATTAATTAAAAATAGTAAACGTCCATTTTGTTATTTTCTTTGTTTTAAATATTCTTGAAACTGGTTATTTAAATCCATCGTAAGCACAGACTTGTTTTCAATAGAGCAGCAGGCAGTCAAACTTTTGAAAAAAGGGGTTTCAAAATTTTTATAGGTAATACTTTAAAGTAGGCTTTTTCTTGCTGACATAACTAACATTTATTTTCTGTTTATTTTTAAGACGAGCAAAAATCAAATTAAAGTAGATCTTGTAGATGAGAATTTTACAGAATTAAGAGGAGAAATAGCAGGACCTCCAGACACACCATATGAAGGCAAGTACTTTTTTGTATATCAAAATATTGTGCATATTAGAACTTGTCTCTGAAGCATTTGGATCAGAATCATCTTAAGGAGCCATACATTATATAGACGCTAACATCATTTGGCTTAAGATATACAGCAATTTTTAAATAATAAATTTAGGTAATTTATCTCGACTGGTTTTCTTATTGAACTTTAACTATTTTTTTCCTTTCTCCCAAATGGATTTAGCAGAGCTATGTTATCAGTTGGTTAATTAGGTTAGAGCACAGCAGTGTAAACCAAGTAGCCTGTTCAGTCCCTAACTTAGAGACGGCGGCAGACTCTTGGTTATTCTCCCTGCAATAACAATAATAAACTTGTTTTAAATTTCGACCGAGACCATGGTTTTTGTTGTGTTTCGTTCACGTGGGAAAGTTCATCGAGCAAATTAGTTTCCCTTTCAGCAATGGATAATCGATTATTTCGTAGCATTCATTGGTTTTTAAAGCTCCTTTCCCTGTTTTTCATTTAGCATTTTATTCATTCATGTCTTTATATGCAGGCAATAAGACCACTTAATTGATTTTCTTTACAATAGGTTTGAGTTGTTTATACATACAGAGAAGAAAGGTTTGCTAAACTTTTGTGTTTATAACCTACATCTGTAGCTACTTTAGACTGCAGGAGTGGGTGGTAAGATACAGAAAGTAGTATAGTTTTTTTAATCCTTCATTAGTCAAATCTTCAGTAATGAGTACTATTGTAAAATTGGGTTTTATAGGATAATCAGATTTCTTGCATATAATAATCATTCAAATATTTGTTTAATAGAAACAAAATAACACAATCTGTAGTAATATCGTTTATTGAGCTCTTATAGGAGCTTTAGGTATTTTCTCATTCAATCCTCCCAATGAATCTTCTGAGGTATAGTACAGTTATTACTGTTTCATAGGTGAAGAACCTTGAGCTAGATATAATTTGTCTAAAGCCACATCTCCACTAAGTGGCAGAGCTGGGATTTGTGTCCTAAAAGTTTTTACACTTTAAAGCCTATGCTTTTAATAACTCAGCTTTTTCATAACGCAGCATTGACTGAGTATGTGTCCACTTTGAATGTAGTGGTTCTACAATTCTATAATGAGCTGTTACTAAAAAAACCCCTAATGTTCTAGAATAATGTTTCCATTCAGGTTGTTTTCCAAGCCCTAGGATGTCTCTGCCATATTCTACCAATTCTTAAATGATTAGATTGTTTTATTTCATAGTTCATTATATGAACCATTGTTAGATGTCACCATTTGATTTTTTCATAGTATTTATTGATTGCCTAATATTTGCTAGACCTGGAGTGGAGGCTTTCATGCCTTCTCTCTTACATAGTCCTTTTGACAATCGGTAGATAGTGCCTTGTAAAAGTTGAGTGCTTGTCCTAATAGCAGATACTCTGTGTACCTATAAGGATACACTAGCTTCTTGAAGGCAGGCATTATAAATATTCTCGAGTAACTTTTTAGGTTTAGGCACCTTGTTAAAAATTAGACTAGTAACATTCTAGAACTTTTCTAACATTCATTTTTATAAACAGGACATTCTGAGTTAAATTAGACAGATAAAGAATGGTCATTATCCTGGCAGTTCTTACTAATAATAAGTAGGTGTTCTTTTAAAATTTGATACTGTATGTCTATTAGTAGGACAATCGAGTTATAAGTATGCCATGTTCTTAATTGGTTAGAAATACATTTGGTTATTTTTAATTGCCGATTTCTTCTGTTGCTTCTAAAGTGACTTTTTTATAAACTTTTGTTTTGATAAGCTTTTTATTATACTAGGTAAGTAAATATCGCTATTAGGTTTCCACTTGATATATTCATGGGCTTATTCCAAATAAAATGTGCTTGTCACTGATTGGTGTGGATGGCTGCAGACAAGTTCTCTCAGTAATATACTTGTCTTCGTCTCATTAGGGTTACCTTCCAAAAAGAGGTCCAATCAAAACAGTGGCTTCTAGTGGGATCTGCTGGGCCAGTCCAGTTGTCTGTCTGTCTGTCTGTCTGTCTCTCTCTCTCTCTTTCTCTTTCTCTCACACACAAACACACACATACACCCTCACACACCCTCCTTCCCTCCCTCTGGGCCAGTCCAATTCACACACACACACACACCCCACCCCCTCCCTCTAGGCAGGTTACAGCAACGGTTTTTGTTGAGGCTCCAAAAAGGTCCTCTTCAACACAGGATGATCACCAACACTTGTTGGAAAGTTTTGTTCTTTTTTGTTGTTGTTGGAAAATTTTAATGAAAATTCAAAACTGCGTGAGTAAGATAAAGGGCAGGAAAGTTAAGCCAATGAAAAAATTTTTTAATATCACAAAAAATGCACCTGCTCAATTATTTACAGTAGTAAGGACAGTCCTATAAGAATTTCATTGGGAAACCTTACCCCATCCACTCTTTAGCTCTAATCTTCCCCTTCAGGCTTCCTTTTGTTCCCCAAACTCAACATTTCAGATGAGCACAGTTCGAGTCCCTCATAGATGCTAAAACTATCTCATTTGATTTAAATGGGAGCGTTTGGAATTCTTTGGAGGAAAGGTTAGAGATGGCAACACTGCCTTCAGAAACATACAGACCTAACTAGAAGGTATTAAGAAACAGTAGCCTCACGTTTTCATGTTTTGTTGAATAAAGATTTCTATGATTTTTTAGCAGTAATTTTTGATGTGTCCTCATATTTCAAATAGATTAATTAAAATTCTATTTTTTATCATAAAACTGTTAAAGGGAAACTTTTCATTTGTTTAGGAAAACACCGTTTAAGGACATAAACTTAGATGCTTTTACTTTCTTTTTGTTTTTTCTTATCACCAGCATTTATAAAACCAGGCTCAGGGAAAGAACTCAGCCCGGAGACACATGCATGGTTTTCTATAGCGATTTTTAGCCTGCCCTGGCTCCCACAAAACCAGGACAGCGAGAATATTCACAGAATGCTTTACTCTCCAAGTTTGAATATGGGTGGAATATTTTGATAATATTAATTGTTGGAGGGTTTTTTGTTTTGTTTTATTTTTAATCTCTTTAGCAAAATTCTGACCTTAAAAGCTAAGGCAAAAATCATCCTTAAAAAGGCAGTTGGTTTATGTGGCATTTAATCAACCTTTCTTTCTAAAAGCTTTTTAAATTTGCGGAAACTTTGTTGATATGTATATCTATCTATCTATCTTGTCACTTATTTGCTTTTTTGCATTAAATAAAACTTAAATGATCAAGTCTTCATATTAACAGTTGGTTTTCAATAAGTAAATATTTTTTGTGAAAGCTGTTTAACATGCATGTGGTAAATAAAGTTTCCTTAGTGTGCTGCCTTCATATCACATACCTGTGGCTAATGTATAACAGTCATGTTGACAGTTCTTAAGGAATATGTTAATAGCATATAAATAGAAGTAGGATTTTGGAGACTGAAGGGTGTTTCCAGCATCATTTCTGTAGTTATTCTGGAATTGCTTCTCTTATACTGCTTCTAAGACACTGTTTTGGACATCCCTGAAGAGGCACGTTGCACGGAAGGTTCATGAGAAGTAAGCTTTATTTCATCAGAAACAATGGGGTTCTTAGGAGCTAGAAGAGACTATGCTGTTTATCCATGCCAAATTTACTGTGTTACTGTTTGAGGCTAGCAAGATTAATTCTTAACACAAGTTGCTATTTTTTCAAATAAATTTCTTTAAGGGCCTTCCTTACCTGTTCTTACTATTTTGTTTGTTTGATTTCTTTTGTTTGGACTACTTTTTAATTTACTGCTACATCTGCATTGTGATCTAGCACCTGGTTCAACTCATCCATCAGCACCGTCAGACTAGTGAGAAAGATTTGAGAGACTCGAATACACTTAGAAAATTTCAGACCACTGACTATATGAAATTTTGAAGTCAATACTTCCCATTTTGCTTTCATTTATTTGTGTTAGAAATATCAGATAAATCCCAAAGTACAATAGTATAATGAACCTTCATGTATTCATTACTGAGTTTTAATAACTACCAGATCCTGGCCAGTTTTTTGTTGGTTTGGTTTTTATTTAATGCATCTCTTGATAATTTTGTAGCAAATCTCAGACATAATTTCATCTATCAGTGTCTGCAGCACATTTACATTTGCTATGCATAGTTACAGTATTTTGTGTTAAAGTCATGTTCTTAAAATTGCTTGGTTAAAAAAAAATTGCATGGTTTCTTAGGCGTGGGATTCTAATCTAGCCTCTCATCCAGTGTAACACTCCCTTTCAAAGTTTCTGGAGAGATAGTTAACATCTGCTTGAATAACCAAGTTACAGGAAACTAGATAAATTTTTTTAAAGCTTCCATATATATACACTTACTCTTGGATGTAAAACTCTCTTACACAAAGAGCATATTTAGCTGCTGGTTGTTCGAGATAACTTCAAAACGCATGGATACCTTCTGTTTATTGGTCTTTAGTTAATACTTCTTTGTAAACGTTTATATTTTGCATAACCATTTAAAGGAAGAAGCAGCCATATTTTTATGCTGATTTTTTTGCCTTGTTGAAAATTTTACATGAAATGCTGACAATACAATAAAATTGGAACATTTTTGTCTTTGAAGAAATTTTATTTTTAAGTTTGTGGGATAATCCGTATGATTTGTCTCTGTTCCATCTATGCCTTTGTACCTTTTTTACCTTTTATTTTCCTTTTTTCTAAGTTTCTTATTTTTTACAATTGAGGTGGATTAGAGAAAAACCAATGAAGATGATTTTAGCTAGTACATCAGGACTAGTTAAATGCACTGATTAATCCTTTATCGTTGGGTTATCTATAGATTTGAAATATTCATATACCTGTATGAATGGGTAGTCCATATGCTTTCAATTTTGTTTTACTTAGGCTAAAGCTTGCAGTTTCCAGATCAAATCAATTTTCCATTCAACAGTTAATACACCTTTTTTTCATATCTATATGCTTTAAATAAATCTTAAAAACTTGTACTTTTGATTGTTTTATTTTGGAGTATCAACTCTAAAACAAATTTATTATAAGTGAATCTAAAATAAAGTTCTATCAAATACTTGGCGTCATCTCTTTGAGGCGGGCAGCATGCTTAACTTTCTGTTTTCCCCCATTTAGGAGGAAGATACCAACTAGAGATAAAAATACCAGAAACCTATCCATTTAATCCCCCTAAGGTATTGTAAGCCTCTTTTTGTGCATGAACTTTTAAAGTATGTTATATTTCTTGGCCCATTTAGTTAGTATACATGTTTAGTGCCTATTCAAACCATAGCTTTCTGAGTTGTGTACCATGTAAGAATTTAGTGTGGACAAGATTTCATGAACTAGCAGAAGTTTTGCTCTTGTAATTAAAAGCAAGTTTACTCAAAGCTAGCCAGTGATGGCTCTAGACAAAAATAAAATGTGTATCTTAATATGGCTTAAATTCTGTCTAGAGAAACATCCAGTGTTCCTAATTTTATAGGAATGCTAGACAAGTAGAAAGAGGTTCCTACTTGCCTCCCAGAAATATGCTTTTTAGGGAAACTGAATTCTACACCAAACAGGACTAATACTGTTACTTCTTTCGTAGAACTCAGTTTTAACGGGGAAATGAGCAGATAGTTACATAGCGATTAATGTTAACAAAAGGAAAAAATAAAAGTGGGGAGGATGGAGGGAAGGAATAGAATGCTGGAGGATCATATGAAGCAGGGACTCTGACTCAGCGGTTCTCAACCTGTGGGTCGTGACCCTTTCACAGGGGTCGCCTTAGACCGTCAGAAATATGTTTTCCAATGGTCTTAGGAACCGAGACACTGCTCCTCTATCAGTCCCCAGGCGGGTTTGCCCACATGCAGATACACCTACATACGAGGACCCGGTGTGAAG